GGTTGCGGGAGGGAGGGTGCTTTAGTAACAATCTCGAAAAGATTGCACAACGTCAGACTTTAGATCCGCTTTGCAAGGGCCTCACAGGCTCGTGACATATTGGATGCTTTCACTGAACCGGAATGCAATGGAATCATCTGTGTCTTATTAATAATGATCATGAGCCGCCGGGATAACCATCACATGTCTGTTTTTTTTTTTCCCCCTCTCCAAAAACAGGAAATGAAAACCTTGGGACAAAGATCCAATTTTTGATATGAGAGCTATTATTTTTAATCACACACTGTCTTTTGTTTTCTTTGCTATCTATGAGGTGAGTCACAAAAGATATATTTTAAACCCAAAGTACATTTTTCCTCCCTCCCTTTCAAAGTAACCCTTACGGAATCCAACGCACTTTGGACTGAGCGGGTGCGTTGTCATGGTGATTGCCTGGCTCAGGCTGAAGGGGATAACTGACAGTTTGGATTTGAAATATAGCTTTGGTGACATTTGCGACTTTGCTGACACGTACTGTACATTAGCAGGATTACACGAAACGCACTTTTGAGATTTGCGTGAAACTGCTGCATCAGCTTGTCCGGTGAATAGAGTGTCCATTTTTTTTGGAAATACTTTTGCCAACTAAAAAAGGACAACCAGATGAACAAACTATTAAGATCTTAAATTTTCTTTCCCCACTGAGGTGTCTAGAAATGCCTGTAATCCGTTCCAGCCTCCACCAAAAAATATTTTTTTAGATAGGAAAGACAGCACTCTATAATATTATACTTAAAAAAAAAAAGACATTACACGATTGAATAGAAAGTAAAGAACTAATCAGTTTTAGCCACATTTTTTTGCTTCAATTAATTGGATTTGCTCATTACGGTATGTACTCCTTAGCTACCTCGGGGAATTACAATACAAACGCTGAGACACACACAAAGAGGAGATTCACAACCACAAGAAAGCTGCAGTAATATTTGTCATTTTTCATCGAGGATAAAGAATGTATGTCTGTAAGTATTGTTATATTGCATATCTCCATGTGTTGCTCTTTGAGTTAGAACACTGCAACATCACTGCTATTCGTTAGCTCATCTATGACATTTTGCATTGTTTGTTAGCATTAAGCTAAACGGACTTTCCCAAGGGAAAAAAAATCTGGCTGTGTAAACTACCGGTAATGCTTGTTGTGAAGGGAGTTAAATTGAAGTCCAGCACAGATAATTCGGCCTTGATGCCGCTTGAGTCACTATCGAACCGTCAACCCCGCCCCAAAATCAAAGATGGTACAGTTTAGGGGTCACCAACAGTTGCCCGTTTAGCGTTTACCAAGCCTACTCTAAAAATAGCTCCACCAGTAAGATGCATCTTATGTTTTGTTTATATAATTAAAAAAATTATCAGTGAGCTCCTTCTTCTGTGTGAATGTACAGTAATACAAAAAAAAAAGAAGATATTTTAAATTAGCTTCCGAATGGAAAGAACTGACAAAGACTAAAACAAACAATTACAGTATACAGGATGTTACATATACTCCAAGCTTTATTTTCATTATCTCCAGCAGGGGGCAGCAACAGTACCGGTAAAAACAAAAACTTGATCACAGTGTTCAGAGTGCCGCATCAATGAAACCTCACATTTCTTCCGTCAAATAAAATAAGCAGTCCACTCATCCCTCATCACCAGCCCTCATACATCGGCGAGTTATTGGCGGCGCCGCGAGGCCGATTACCTTCTGAGAGGACGCTGATGGCGTCGGACTGCAGCTGCCCGTTGCCGTTCATGTTTTTCTTGGCCTCCTGCACGTGACTCTGGTAGAGCAGGGCCGTGCCCACCATGGTGTTGTGCCTCTCCGCGTTGGCCACTGAGGTGGAGGCCGACTCCCAGGCCATCTCCCGCCTCCCGCACGGGTTCAGGTCCACGTCGAAACCCGTCCAGCCGTGGAAGGCCAGCGTGTTGAGGAAGGCCTGCATGGGGTTCAGTATCCCCTGAGACGTAAACGACACAGGGCGGTGAGGACGCTCAACTTCAAATTTGATCAATGGACAATATGTACATTCCAATGGCCGTCAATTCTACACACATTTTGGCAGATAGCAACGGTCTATTGTACAGTTATTCAGCAATTTTTTAAAATACATTGGTCCATTTTCTGATCTGATCGCTATTGTTTTTTTTTTGTTTTTTTTTTTTACAACTTGCTGATCGGTTGTGAAATCCTAATTATGTAAAGCCTACAAAACATATTAACCATTAACGTGCTTATTTTTAGTGTTCCTATTTATTTGTGGGAAAAAATATTAGCGACTTTAAATTAGGCAAAAATTGGCAGTATTTTAACACCTTAGCGCATTACGATTTTTGCAGATTCTTCTCCGTTATTAGTTAAATACAAAAAATAAATTTATTGTGGTAAGCATTAAGGTACCCAAAATGAAGTTATTCATGACTATGTATATATTTTTTAATTGACACGTTTATCGGTTTTCAGAATTTTAATCAGCCAAATATTGGAATTGGCAACCGCCGCAAAAAAGTAACAAGAAAATAATTCAATCTCTGAATGAATATCTGTTTGTGGACATAAATATTCATGAAAAAAAAAATGTACAAAAATAAACACCATACCCCCAATTAAATTGACTTTTGACTTTTACCATAATAAACCACGTGATGAGGGCAGCATTTCTGATATTCCTGAGGCTGCTGTCATCGATGTTCCCCTGCATCTCCAGGTAGAAGAGGAGGCACTCGTTGATGATGTTGGGAATCCAGCTAGAGCACCAGAGCGATATGATTATTACATAAATATATAGCATAATAACATGATAACAACACGCTGCAGTGAAGAAGATCAAAAACCTACCATATAAAGAACACCAGCATGATTTTAAAGAATCGTATTTTTATGGCGCTAGCCAGCCGCCGCTCGTTTTCTGTGTAGATTCCTTGACGTCCTTTTAGCAACGATGTCACTAAAAGAAGAAGAAGAAGAAGAATAAAACGTTTTTGCACATTCGGGTCAGATATTTCCGATTCGGTCCACGACGCTGACCTGCGGATGTGGTCCGGTTGAAGAATATTGGGTTGGCAACGAAGACCAACAGCATGGGTGCGTATGTGGTGACGTAGTGAGGGATGGCGTGCTGGAAGCCTTGTTCACAGCTGAACAAATGTGAAATACACACAGTTAAAAAAAAAAAAAACATGATCAAATATCACAGGACACTCACTATGAGAGCAAAAGAACAAGGCCCGAAGGTCATAATACTTAGTCTGGTTTATCACAAAAATGCTGAATGACCTTTAGATGAAGTTGTTCCATACCGCTGCAGACCTTGCTTTGTGCACCGAACAACAAAAAATGGCTTTTCTACAAACGGTTCCCGCAAAGCAGCACAATCGTGTTAAAGGTCTTGAAAGGACGAACAAGCTGAGCATAAGGGTCTTACTTGGAAATGGAGGGGTAGTAGAGCATGGCCACGCCCTCAATACACAGCAGCAAAGCCAGACCCCATGTGATCATGTGGTACAGGATAATGGTGCTGAGGGAGAAAGGGAACAATTCATAAGACCGCGCTCACATCCACAACACATGCTGCAGTTCTTTGTCCTCGGGCCGGGGTTTAATGATAAATCCCTTGATGAATGATTCCCTACTACATACTAAGCAAGGAATTACTTTGAGTCAATGGAACATTAAAAGCAAGTGGGCTTCCACCCAATAAATGAAGTCACAAAAACACAGAAAATACAAAATACAGTACAGGGAAATCGTGACATGACACATGACAGCACCGTCACCAACAACCAGACAGACTGAAAGAAACCGGGGAACTCGATACAAGCAATCTGACGAGACGACGAGGCACACCTGCACAAGACATGACTGGCTTGAGGGAGCCGATTTGCTGACATGAGGAACCGGGCTGAGAACAGATGGAAATGAAAACCGAACAAACAAGGTGACACGAATGTGTGGGACAAGACGAAAACAAGATCTACCATGAAAGAAATTAAACATCTCAACAACAAGAACGCAGATGCAGCTCCTTCAATGCAGCTGTCTGCGTCTCGGCGGACTCCCTGATCAGTTGGAATAATTTTGGACCCTTCTCCAGAATGATACGTTTGAACAAGACCCTTCTGATGCTGTAGAACACGGGTGTCAAAGTCAAGGCCGGGGGGCCAGATCTGGCCCGCCACATCATTTTATGTGGCCCGCGAAAGCAAATCAAGCATGTCAAGTTCCATGATGCTTGCTAAAGTCTGAACCAAAATTTCAAATTGTCATATGTAATCCACAATAACAGTCATTATTCTTGACTTCTGATTTTAAAACTAGCTCTTCATCAATTTGTTGTGCACTGTGTATGTCATATGTGGAGGGGATTAAACATTTATATGGTTTCCCAAAATTCATAACGGCCCTCCAAGGGAAACCGTAACTACACTGTGGCCCGCGACAAAAATGAGTTTGACACCCCTGCTGTAGAAGCGCTGTGAACCACAGCACGTGCTGAAAGATGTGACTCCAAAAATGTCAGGAAAAGCCTACCAGAACATCTGAACTGTATTTGGTGTTCATCATAGGCACCTAAAATAGTGGCAGTTTGACTCCCTTTTAAGGTGGGCTTCAATGTCATTGTTGAACAGAGCCGCATCCCCACTTACAAGAGGGTGTGCACACTTGTGCAATCCCATTATCTCAGCCTAATCAAGCGAGTCAGACAAATATATTACGTACTGCTTGGCCTCGAGTAGGGTTATTCACTACAATTGTGTTACATACGCGCAATATTGTATTTCTAGTTACTTTCAAAACAATTCCATGCTTCACCTAATTCCAGCAGACGTCTTGACCACCAGGAAGACGTCGACGGCATAGCAAAAAGTCCACCAAAACGAAGCGCTGTAGAACAACTGGATCCACATCTGCCAAGATGTACAAGAGTTGTGTCATCCAGCAGCTTGAAGCGGCCGTGATTTTCTTTGCGGACGACTTACCGCACTGCCGAGGCACAAGACGTCCGGCCAAAGTTCGGTGCTGTTGGCCTCGGAGATCTGTTCCACCGTGTTGGGTAGGCCCACCCACAGAGAAGACCTCAAAATGATGCCTGGGAGAGACAACACAAAATTCATCCACCAGCAAGAGATTAGAAAGTAATCTCATATTGGTTTCGAAGCCTAACTAATGTCAGTCAAAAAGTAGTCAGTTCAAAGAACTGGTGGACATCAAATTTCCTCTTACGGTCACTGCTTTAATAGACGCTATCCCGCAGCATCCAAATGAACAAACAAACGCCACACCTTAAATGTAAAATGTCCTCCATTTCTGGAATAATTATTTTAATGTTATTATTTTGATTTTTTTCAGGTGATGCTTGGTGTAAAGTTTGACACCAATATTTTAACATTAAACAGTGATATGGTTACAGTTTGACTGACGGTTAATTTCAGCCAAAATATTAGAGACAACTTTATGTATGGTTCAGAACTGTTGTACACAACTGTAAATTCCAACTACTAATATTAAACATTCACTTTATATATAATGAAATCCAGTAGCAAATATCGGCTTTTACAGCAAATAAACTCGCTCAAAATGGAGGAAAAGTACAAGAAAAGTCACTAAATGCGACATCAAACGGTGATATGGTTACAGTTTGACTGACGGTTAATTTCAGCCAAAATATTAGAGACAACTTTATGTATGGTTCAGAACTGTTGTACACAACTGTAAATTCCAACTACTAATATTAAACATTCACTTTATATATAATGAAATCCAGTAGCAAATATCGGCTTTTACAGCAAATAAACTCGCTCAAAATGGAGGAAAAGTACAAGAAAAGTCACTAAATGGTCACCCGTGCATCCCAAAATGTCGCACAGGCTGATGATGAAAAGTATCCGCGATGAAGACGCGGGTCTGGGCAGCGGGTAGTGTCCGAGCCTCCTGTAGCCTTTCTTCTTGGGCAGGAGCTGCAGCACGGTCAACAGAACGCTCGTGGCCGCGCTGGCCACCGTCACGATTCCGAACAGCAACGGCTGGAAGGTGACCACCAGCTCGGTGGCCGCGTCACGGTTCGAGCAGCAGAACGTCTCCAACCGCGGTGACGCCATGACGGACTCGGCAAACCCACCCAGGCGGCCCCGGCTTGCTTCAAACAGGCACGAAGAAGGAAAAGGGGGCAGAAAATAAAAAAAAAGGAGTCCGCTTCACCCGATTCTCCGACTGATCACATGGCGGCTACATCATGTGCTTTCATTTAATCCCCCCCGCAGCTGCTCGGCGAGTGTGATCGCAAGGGTGCTGCGAGGTGACTTTTTCACCTACTTTTAAAGACTCGACATTAAGTACGATACGACTGCACAAAAGAATGCCAACATATTAACTGGAATTAGAATACAAAAGTAAAATGGGTCCAGTCCTTGGACGTCATTTCATACCGAGGCCATTGAATTCATCACAAGTTGTCGACTGACTGTTTTATACTCCAAGTTGGAGGCACAACTCAACCATGAATGGTGTCTATTATTCTTTTGGGATGCAAAACGACAGTTGTAATGATGGCATGCAGGGAATCCCCCACCCCCACCCCCCTCTACCGGCTAATAACAATAGTTGAGTGAGAATTGCTTCGTTAAAATGCCATGTAGTTGTAAAAAGAGGCCTGTTTCCACCTCAGACTCAAATATGGCCGCGTTTTTTTTTGTTTGTTTATTTGTTTTATTGTTAGAGGCAAAATTATTGAGTCTCTTTGGGAAGGGATGAAAGGACAGTGCCGTATATGGGAGATGAGCCTCCTCCCAGAGGCGTGCAGATTGGGTGGGACTGGGGGGGGGGCATCCCGATGTCATATCATATATCAAAATATTTGCGATATAATTTCAGGTAATCTTTGTGGGGAAAGGCAAAGATTGCCAAGGAGTGCAAAGTTTTTTTTTTTTGCAAGGGACCACTTTTTTTTCTTCAATGTCACCTTCGGGGCTCCTGACAAGAGACTCTTTATTTTATCGTTCATAAACATGTAGTCCATTTTAGCTCAGAGAAATCCAGAAAAAAAAAAAAAAAAAACAACAACAATAACTTATGTTCAGATGAAAAAGGTTGGCCGGCCATCCATTTTCTGATCCTCTAATTCTCAGATTCGGGCAGGATGCGGGCGACACCCTGAACGGGTTGCCAGCCAGTCACGGTGAAAAATGCTGTCTTTCTTTTATATTTAATGATGTCACTTTATTGGTTTTATTCAGATTTTTTTTTTTTTTACAACAAACCACTCACAAAGCAAAGCAAAATAACAATTTTAATAACATTTCATTTATTTATTCTCATATTTTCACAAGTTCCCCCCCTTTTTAGAACTTTTCTTTTTTCATAAAAAGTTTTTTTTAATTTGTTGATTAGTTCCCACTTCTCCATTTTATCGTGATTTTTTTAATTCTGATGCCAAATTATAATTTTTTTTTCTTTGCCAATGTGACCTGAATATGCCTTCCTCAAAACAATGAGTCACATGTTATTTGACAAATAATGCAACTTTAACATTTTAAAAAGTATTTCCAGGTGGTTTTTTTTCTTATTTTTTTTAAACAAACAGCAGCGAAAAAAAGACCACAAATATAACCGTCCATTCCGCCATACTCCTCCCATCTGTCTTGAGGCACATCTTTGGTGTCAAATGTCAACACAACAATTCCAACCTGCCCAACAGGCCTCCCTCTCATTTGTGGCACCTCCTTTGGCTGAGTCACACCCACACCACAGAAGCCTTCTGCTTCCTGGAGGGCAAATATCTTGCTTTGAACAGGAAATGACATCACGGCACCGAGGAGCATTTTTGGAAGCCGAAAACCCAAAACAAGAAGCAGATGTTTTTCAGGCGCCGCGTCGAAAAGAAGCAGAAAGCAGAGCGTACAAAAGTGAAGGGGAAGAATGTCAGGAGGACATGAAGAGAGTCAAAGTGGAACTTGTGTTTTCTTCTCCAATCCTCTGATGAGTGGTGAGTGTCACACAGGAACTGGCTTTTTTTTTTTCTTGCAAGCATGTGATGTGAACGTCTATGCATTGTGGACACAGATGTGGAAGCAGACTGGACTCCAATTCATGATGCCGCATCCAACGGCCGCTCGCTGACTTTGCAAAGGCTCATTGCTCAGGTAACCAAACTTGAAATACTTTTTCAGGCTTCCTGAGCTTACTACACATCAACAGGGGTCATCAACTAATGTACAACTACATGTTACATAACACAGGCAGTTAGCACATGGTTGAATATGAAGTTTTTTTGTTTTTTTTTTAAATGAAAGTTGGACCAGAAATACATTTAACTGCTCAATTCCAAAAGGAACGAAACCACACAGAAAATAAAATAAGACAGTAATAGACTCGTGGCAATGTGAAAATATGTTAAAAACATCCAGGTGGGACAAAAAAACAAATTCAAGTTGTATTAGTGTGGAAAATGGTGTCCTTTAGTGAAATATAATATAAAAATAATTTCATGAGAATGAACGTGAACATTTTCAATCATAATGCTGCAAGAAAAATTACAGCGTTTCAAGAAATGTGTAATTAAAAAAATAGAAAAAGGCATTATTTGTAAGTGATTAAAAAGTTGGCATTTTCATTTTTATTTTGGCCATTTTACAAAAAAGTGTTTTTATTTTTAGAAGAATAAATTTGGATTATTAAATTAAAACAAAATTTATTATATTGCTAGCATTGTGTGGGATCTTCATACCTCCAAGACTTGTTTCAATCAATAAATTATGAGAGAGTCAGAATATAGGCCAGACTGTAAATTTTCCTATTTTATGAGAAATATATAATTTTTTGACACTCTCCAATTATTAAAAAAAAAAAAAGTAATTGTCATTTTATGATACAGTCCATTTTACAATCATTTTTCCCCCAACAAACAGAGCCAACAACTTCACGTGTGACTTTTTAAAATGAGTAAACAAGGACAGACAGTTGGACTCTTGCAATTCAGTAACAATAAAATCAGAATAATATTGCGAGAAAGAAATTTGAGAACAAAGTAACATTTCAAGATGAAACCAAAAACTAAGTTCCAATATTTTGAGGAAAATGTTTACATTTTGCAAGATGAGTAGTAATGTTATGATCAAATTCGTTTGTTCTTTAGTTTCCCACCCCCATCACCAATATTTTACTTCGTACGGGGTTTGTACAAAACGTAAGGGTGATTGCTTGCAGGAAGTGATGCTATGGAAAGGCAACCTGTTGTTATGTCATTGAACAGGGTGCATGTGTGAACCTGAGCACGTTGGACCAGGTCTCGCCCCTCCATGGAGCATGCGCGCAGGGCCATGCAGCCTGCGCCAAGCTGCTGCTGCAACATGGTGCTCATGTCAGTATGATGTCATACTATCTGCTTTTTTTTTTTTTTTTAAACACATAACAATTTTGTGATTAGTGCTGAGTCAGCACACTCACTAGCATGCTGCCACGTCCATTAACATTACACAAACATCCTTTGAGCTATGAAAGAAAAGTCCTAATTGAGGGATTCTATTTTGCGGAAAAAAAGGTCAACAGTGAGACATTAGATGGACGCACGGCACTGTCGGAAGCGTGCGGCCGGGGTCATGTGACCTGCGTGTCGCTACTCCTTCGGCACGGAGCGAGGCCTCTGGGGAGCGGCTCGTCCGACTCCCCAATGCACGTGGCCGCAGCCAAAGGTAAGGCGTTCGCGCATGTGTACAGGAGTGCCGCAAATGACACGTTACGGTACCGCAGCCTTATTGTTACCATTTTCACATAGGTCACCCAGAGTGCATTGAGTCTCTCGCGCAGCATGGCGCCGACTTGGATCAGAACGTGGATCAGTCTGGCACCCCGCTGCATGTCGCCTGCTCCAATCGGCAGCTGACTGCCGTGAAGAAACTGCTTCAACTCGGTAAACATCCTGATGGCCTAATACGCTTAGCTACGACTGACAAGGCGTCAAATGAAATTGTCTCGGCTATGCTCTTATTTTTTACGTGTTTTTTTTCTTTTTTTTAATGGAAGCGTGGAAGTGTCATTGCAGATTAAATATTTTTCACTGACAAATACGTTCAAACGTACTTGTTGGCTAAATGCTTCAAACGTAGCATTTTTCCCCTCATAATGCCATTGTGTAAATTATTACGCTATTATTTATTCGAAACGGCTAAATGTGGTGCCGGCGCCAGCCATCAACATCGGTCTGTGCTCACACTGGCGAGACAAAAAGCCTTTCATTCTTCCCAAAAGCAAACGACTGTGGTTACATCATCTACCCAAACTCTTTTTTTTCCAAGGTTTTGGAGCCATGAAGTGATGCAATACCGTCTTGGCCCGAATATAAGACGGCCTTGATTATAAGACGACCCCCTCTTTTTCAAGACTCAAGTTTGAAAAAATACTTTTTGAAGACCAAATTAATTTTTTTACAGAAAATAATTACAGTACATCTGAAACAAATGATTATAATAATATATTTGAGAGAAAAAGCATGTTATTTTGCCTCATTCAAGTCTTAATATCGCTTCTTTTATTTTCTTTTTTACTGCTACTTTTTATTTTTCTTCTTCGTGCTACCGCTATTTTTATTCTTCGTGACAGTGACATACTTTGGCCTTGGGAGTCAAGTTCAGCATTCGCTTCAATGATATCTGGCGCCATCTAGCGTCGTGAATGGGTATAATGTCTAGACCCCGAATATGAGACGACCCTCACTTTTTCAGTCTTATTTCAATGCAAAAAACACCGTCTCATATTTGGGCCAATCCGGTAAAATAAAATGATGAGCTGTCGAAACTGAAGGAAATCTGCCTGCATTTCTGCCAGGCATCATAACACAATTCCTCTTTTGAAATCAACACCTTTCTGACGGCATCCATCTCACCGCGCCCCCTCTCCTCACGAAGGTGCGAGTGTAAACATGGGCCGGTCCGGCGAGTCTCCCTTGCACGTCGCCGTCCGTGCGTCCAGTCCAGAGATGGTGTCGGTTCTGCTGGAGCACGGGGCCGATGCCTCCATGCCCAACCCGGAGGGCAAGCGGCCCCTGGACCTGGCGGCCCCCGCCAGCGCCGTGGAGAAGCTGCGCAAACAAAGCGCAGGTATTCCTATCCAAAGTCCTCACTGTGAGTAAGAGTTCAGAAGCCAAATTGATCCTCACTCTTGGGGGCGGCGGCCCACCTTCAGGAGTCCCACAGCTGATGCAGCTGTGCCGTCTCCACATCAGGACCACTTTAGGCAAGAGCAGGCTGCGCTCCATCACTCACCTCCACCTGCCCACAGTACTCCAAAACTATCTTTTATGGAAAGCTTGAGAATTTATTTCACAGCCTGAATATGGAGCTGAAGGTCAGTTGACGTACTAGTACGCTCTTTGTCCTCACTAGCAAGACAAGGAGAAGGACTGTGTCCTACAGAATTTCTCTAGTACATGGACCCAACACTGGATAACAATAATAAATGCTTGAAAGCAGCTTTCCGGACTTTTCCACGGAAAAGGGAACCTGCTGCATTTCTCTACTTTACCAACAGAGGGAGCACTCGGATAATCCTTGAGGCCAAATTTGACTTTGAAAGTGGAATACAAAGTCACGTGAAGGTCAACATCAACCCCGATCTACAACATGTTGTATTCATGAGCTGGCACATTTTTCCCCCTCTCGCTTTCATCTCCTCTTGTTGATGCTCCAAATAGATTTTTTTTTTTTTTTGCCGCCCCAACGAGGCCTCAAGTGAGCCTTTTAAACTGAATTTACATAATTTAGACAGCAACATTTAAAAAAGAAGTGCTGTACTTTAATCTAAAACTGAATTCTCTGATCAAACTCTGATATAAAATGTGTACAACTGGAGATGTCGGTTGAATTACTCTTATTTCATCTTATACTTCTCGGATCACTTGTCCGTCTGATCTGGGGTCACTTACTTTTGCCCTGTGAATGTTTGAATGCAATTTGTTTATTTCTATTTTTTAATCACACCACATGAATTGACCATTTTATGCCAAAATATAAGCAATTCCAAAGGGTCCACTGTACATTTCACCAACTCCATCCAGAGCATCCTTCGACTTAAATGCAGCACTTATTCATTTTCTATTGATCCCTTCTCCCCAATTTGGCTGAATGGCCGGCGGTCACGCTAACATTGAAGCAACTTTGATTTGATGTAAAATCAATGCCATCCGGGGGCTTGTGGCTCCTCATGCTGCCAGCAGAGAGACGCGGCGTGGAATTAATGACGGCGAAGCAATCATTGGAACGTGAATGTGTGTAGGAACGTCACATGACCGGCAAAACCGCCTCGAGGGTGTGACATCACGAATGTTAGTGTTTGGTTTGTGTGCTGAGCATTTCAATATACAGTATGTCAAGGAAAAAAAACTGTGCTATCAATGTTACTTGTAGAAGTTAAAAATTACTATTTTTATTTTCCTCAACATTATGGCTCAAAAACTTACAGTATTAACGTCCTTCGACAATAGCACCTAATTGGTTTGAAACGCAACTTCATTCTAAAAAAACGACGTCAAAAATAATCCACTTATGGGTCAAAAAGGGAGTGACCACTACTTGGGTCAATTTGACACAGTGTTTTCTTTTTTTTTGGTACAAATCATTTTTAATAGCTATTTTCTATAAACCTGATTTTTGGGTCAAACTGATCCTAGTACCATTGGGTCTCTTTTTGACTCGCAATTGGGTTATTTCTCGCCCAAGTGTGGTTCAAGTAACCACACATTCCAGGTTTCACATCTGAAAAAAAAAGTTGCCAACAATCTCAAGTGCTCCAATTCCAAAGTAGGTTAAGACCAAAGCAGTCTCGCAGGTCCCTGCGAACAAACTTCCACTAATCAACGGCATTAGCGTGCTCATTATTGCCGGGGAATCGTTGCACTCATCAGTGGAGCGTGTTTGGACAAACACACGTTGATAACCAAACCGGGATGTTGGCTCGTCACGTGGCCAACTTGATTGCTTGGTGCGGGATCTCGTAGCGGATAAGGCAGATTGTCAATAAGCTACAAGGGGCCCTCGCACCCGTCGTCCATGAGCTTGCCTGTAATTGCGTGTGTATTTTTAGTGGCTAATTAAAAGCAATGGAGACCAAGCACTCCCGCGGCTCCGGCTCCAACCGGGTTTTCAATTAGACATGTTTTTTTTTTTTTGATGTGGAAACTGAAAAGAAAATGTAGTGGCGGGAAGTAACAAAGTACAAATATTTTATGACTTGAATGAAGTGGATTGATTACTCTGGTATCTGTGGCCTGGTCTTAATGGATCTCTTCCTGTCACTGGATCAAAATGTATTCCAAGTTCCACGTCTCATCGTGCTTCTGCAGTTTTAAAAGGTGAGTTTTCGAACATTGGCAATAAAAGTACTTCGGCGCCATCTTGTTTCCAAGGAACTGTGATGAATGGATGGGCGGAGCTTCAAATGTAGTGCTTTGCCACCATCCAGTGGCATCTATTTAAAATGGTTTTTTTTTTGGTTTGTTTTTTTTTTAAGGGAACATCATTTAGAAATTTCAAGATTTACCTTTTTTTTTTTACTGCAGGGTTCAGTCCCGATCAAGGTTATAACATATTTGAACGTTTTATTATAGTTTTTATTTCGTTTTCCCTTTTTTTTCCTTCAGTTACAATAGTTTGTTTTAGGAGTCTTTTAGCTTTTACTTTGAAAATGCTTCATTTTAGTTTAGTTTTCATCAGCTTAATTTTTTCTAAAATATATGGCATATTTGAGGAATACAAGATTTGGGGGAGGGGGGCGATTACTAAATAGTGCAATCAAGTCAAGTAACCTCCAATTCTCAACAACTGTTTGACCTTGTGTAAGGTCAAGCAGTAATACCAACTATGCAAATTTAAAGAAGTACATTTTGTGGGCATTTTTTCTCACATTGTGCCAAGTTGTAAAAATGTCACATTGTATACATTTGTGTTTTACTTCTACTTCCACCACCTAGTGTGACATCTTTTGCCAACACTGCAAAAATTACTTGTTTATTTTCATAACTGCCATAGATTATCATATAAAATATTGTACAATATGATCACAAAAATAAATGTTTCCACCATATGTTTTGCAATAAATATTCTTTTCTAGCGACCAAAAAAAAAAAAAAAAAATATGCAGCAAAGTTATTAAAAGTGTCTTTGTTCTTTGTCGAGGGGCAGCGCAAAACGTGCCCGTCGATTTGGCGCTGAAAGGTCCTTTTTCTATTTTTTCTGAAGGGGGTCGGGGGGGCTAAGGGATTGGTCTTGGGAGATGTGCAGTGGTCAAGAAAGTTGCTGGGCCGTCATCAGCAGCTGCATGCAGTACAGGTTGATCATCAGCAAAAACAAAAACATGCAGGCCAGAACCTTCTGGACCGACATACACATGTTGACCCTCTGCTCCAGCCGCGCGTTGGAGGCTACCAATCGCATCAGCTGGTGGGAGAGGAAAAACAGACTTAGAGGATTTAGGAAAACCTGAACAGGACACTTCAGGAACAAGTACAAGGAAGTTGAGGAGTTCTGAAGTCGACTGCCCCCAGAGGTCGTACGAAACGGCATCAAAAGGATAGACTTGTGAGTGGTTTTGTTTGCTTCGGAATTTAGCGTTCTATCGATCATCCAATTGATTGCTTGATGGGCTAAAATTTCATTTTGCATTATTGAACATAAAAACGTGCACGTGAGGTGCAGGTATGGGTGAGGATCCTCACATATTCTGTAGTATCTTTGTCTTCGACTCGGGCTTAAAAAAAGCAAAGCCTGTTCTTGTGAGTGACGTGGGTGTCAGCGAATGAGAATTTAGCAGGGCAGGAGAAGTCAGCGTATGGTGTGAAAACATCCTACCTCTGGCCCAGTATTTCACAATTCCCCAGTGAAGTGGAGGGGAAAAACTTTCAATAGAAGCAGTGCTATTACGAAACAGATTGTTAACATTACAGTTGAAGGTTTAGTTAAAGGTGTCATGAACCTGGAAATTATTATTTCAATTCCTATTGGGGGGGGGGG